TCCTGAGTGACGGCTCTTGTTCTGAGAATTGAGCCCTGACAGCTCCTTCTCCCCTGACCATCCTTCTACCGTAACTCTCTCTTCCTCTCTGTAAGAAATAATAAAATATATTAATTTTTTTTTTAAAAGGAGCACTCCAGCCCCAGCTGGGGTGGCTCAGTGATTGAGCGTCGACCTAGGAACCAGGAGGTCCGGGTTCGATTCCCGGTCAGGGCACAGGCCCGGGTGGCGGGCTCCATCCCCAGTGAGGGGCGTGCAGGAGGCAGCCGATTCGGGATTCTCTCTCATCATCGATGTTCCTCTCTCTCTCTCTCTCTCTCTCTCTCTCCCTCCCCCTTCCTCTCTGAAATCAACTCTGCTTGGTTTCCCACACGCCCAGCCCGGAAGGTGCCCGTGGGGGTCTGTGTACGGATACACACTCTGAGGGTCAGAGCAGCCTCAGAATTTATGTCAATGAGGTGAACTCTAGCCTGGTTTCATTACACACACACACACACACACACACACACACACACACACACACAATGAGGCCAGGGTGCTCTCATTCCTGGGCCTGGCTCTCTCCGCTGACCTTATTAAGGCCGGGGAAGTAGGTCTGAGATGCTGCTGCTTTGTAAAAACCAGGGCTAGCCCCGGCCGGTGTGGCTCAGTGGATAGAGCTTCAGCCTGCAGATGGTAGGGTCCCGGGTTCGATTCCGATCAAGGGCATGGACCTTGGTGGCAGGCACATCCCCAGTGGGGGGAGGGGGGTGCAGGAGGCAGCTGATGGATGTTTCTCTCTCATCGATGTTTCTGGCTGTCTCTCCCTCTCCCTTCCTCTCTGTAAAAAAAAAAAAAAAAAAAAAAAAAAAGAATGATATTTGGTCACATCCCAAGACGTCTTCCCCTTTCTCCCTCTGTCTCTCAGGTCAAGGTCAGGGGCCTCCAAGTGAATTCTGCTGCCTTTTCTTTCTTTCTCTCTTGTTGTATACATATATTTCATTGCTTTTTCACAGGGAGGAAGGGAGAGGGATAGAGAGTTAGAAACATCGATGAGAGAGAAACATTGACCAGCTGCCTCCTGCACACACACCCCCCACTCCCGACTGGGGATGTGCCCGCAACCAAGGTCCATGCCCTTGACCGGAATCGAACCCGGGACCGTTCAATACGCAGGCCGACGCTCTACCCACTGAACCACACCGGTTCGGGCTTCAATATATCTTTATTGATGTCAGAGAGGAAGGGAGAGGGAGAGAGAGGTGGAAACATCCATGATGAGAGAGAATCCCTGATTGGCTGCCTCATGCACCTGCCCCCACCGGGGATTGAGCCCGCAACCTGGGCATGTTCTCTTGACGGGAATCGAACCCGGGACCCTTCAGGGCACAGGCCGACAGTCCATCCCCTGAGCCACACCGGCCAGGGCCTAGGGGAGGTTTTGAAATGCTGCTCGTTCAAATACACGGACATGTCGCCGGGACCGGTGTGGCTCAGTGGATAGAGCGTCGGCCCGCGGATTGAAAGGTCCCAGGTTCGATTCCGGTCAGGGGGGCATGTACCTTGGTTGCGGGCACCTCCCCAGTAGGGGGTGTGCAGGAGGCAGCTGATCGATGATCCTCTCTCATCGATGTTTCTAACTCTCTGTCCCTCTCAATTCCTCTCTGTGTAAAATCAATAAAATATATTTTTTAAAAAAATAAAACATTACAAATACACGGACATGTGAACAGCAGCTACTGGCTCCCCAGGAGGGAGGAAAAAGCCCCACCGCTGACTGGGTGGCTCACTGGTTAGCGCCACTCGGGTAGGTCACGAGAGAGATGTGGGGGAGGAGCTTGTATCGTCCTGAAAAAAATTGCAAGAAATGAGTCCAAGGAACAGTGGCCTTTTTTTTTTCTTTTTCTTTTTTTCATAATCAAGGTTACGGAGTTCTGGCCTTGATCTCATTTTTCTCCTGCTTGTCCCTTCCCGTGGAGCCTGTGTGACCTGCCTGGCCCACACGAGCTTTGCCATCGGAACCTCCAGCACTGCGTGCGGACACTCGCTGCAGACAGAGGAGCCGGGATTCCACTAGGCAGGGGGGGCCGCCATTAGCATGTGCAGGGAGAGAGGACTGAACACTCATTTTTTTAAAAATATATATATATTTTATTGATTTTTCACAGAGAGGAAGGGAGAGGGAGAGAGAGCCAGAAACGTCGATGAGAGAGAAACACCGACCAGCCGCCTCCTGCACACCCCCTACCGGGGACGTGCCCGCCACCAAGGTCCATGCCCTTGACCAGAATCGAACCCGGGACCTTTCAGTCCGCAGACCGAGGCTCTACCCACTGAGCCAAACCGGTTTCGGCTGAACATTCATTTTTAAAAAAATAATATTTTTGCCTTAAACCGGTGTGGCTCAGTGGATGGAGCGTCGGCCTGCAGACGGAAGGGTCCCAGGTTCGATTCCGGTCAAGGGCATGTACCTTGATTGCGGGCACATCCCCAGTGGGGGCTGTGCAGGAGGCAGCTGATCGATGATTCTCTCTCATCGATGTTTCTAGCTTTCTATCTCTCTCCCTTCCTCTCTGTACAAAATCAATAAAATATATATTTTTTTTAAAATGTCCAACTTATCTATAGGTTCAGCAACACTATCCACTCCTCTCCCCGTCTTTTTTATTCTTAAAACATCTGCAGAAGCGAAAGCTCCCTTTCAGTCATTCCAAGCTTCAGTCAGCAAAGCGTTCCTCCAACATACACTCAAGCAGAGCCTGTTTCTCAAAGTCAAGGTCACAGCCATAACCCTTTGGTCTGCAATCCTGCTGGATTATTATTTTTTTTAAATATTTTGATTTTTTTACAGAGAGGAAGGGAGAGGGAGAGAAACATTGATCAGCCGCCTCCTGTGCATGCACACGTGCACGCGCACACACACACCCCCCACTGGGGATGTGCCCACAACCAAGGTCCATGCCCTTGACCGGAATGGAACCCGGGACCCTTCAGTCCGCAGGCTGATGCTCTATGCACTGAGCCAACCCGGTTTTGGCCCTGCTGGGATTCTAAGAAGTTCTTAACACTTTGTAGAATGTCGGTCCAGCCACTAAAACATCTAGAACCCTTACCCTGGCCAGTGTGGCCCAGTGGATAAGGCATCAGCCTTCTGACTGAAGGGTCCCGGGTTCGATTCCGGCCAAGGGCACATGCCCAGGTTGCGGGCACATCCCCAGGAGGCGGCCTGCAGGAGGCAGCCCACCAACGATTCTCTCTCATCATGGATGCTTCTATCTCTCCCTCTCCCTTCCTCTCTGACATCAATAAAAATATATATTTTATTATAAAGTTTATTTTTACTTTTTAAATATAGTGTACTGATTTTTTCCAGAGAGGAAGAGAGAGGGAGAAAGTTAATATCGATGAGAGAGATACATCCATCAACTGCCTCCTGCACGCCCCCCTCCACCGGGAATGTGCCCGCAAGCAAGGTGCACATGCCCTTGACCGGAATCGAACCTGGGACCCTTCCGTCTGCAGGCCGACGCTCTATCCACTGAGCAACACCGGTCAGGGCTATAAAAATACGTTAAAAAAAAAAAAAAATTAGAACCTGCCGAAACCGGTTTGGCTCAGTGGATAGAGCATCGGTCTGTGGACTGAAAGGTCCCGGGTTCGATTCCGGTCAAGGGCAGGTATATTGGTTGCGGGCACATCCCCAATAGGGGGTGTGCAAGAGGCAACTGGTCGATGTTTCTCTGTCATCGACGTTTCTAGCTCTCTATCCCTCTCTCTTCCTCTCTGTAAAAAAATCAATAAAATATATTTTTTTTAAAAAAAAATTAGAACCCTCTAGCATTGCAAGTGGCTGGATCTGAACAGACCTGACTCCACTCAAGAGGCGTCAGGCCCTCCTGGGGCGGACAGGGGACGGGACAGACCATCCTGGACTCCTCTGAGCCAGGAAGGAAGCGGAGGGAGCGGTCAGGAAAAGGGCCGAGGCCCGGGAACAGCGATCCACACCCCGGAAGCCCCCTTCAGGGCCCCCCTCGTCGGGACGTAATGACTGATCGCCCAGAGCCGTCTGAGAAAACATAACACTTTTAATGGATGAAATAAATACTCCAGTACATGCAAGGGACAAAAACTTGACATTGGAGAGGGGCTGGGGACGGGGGAGGGGAGAAATCACTCTATAGTGTAAAAAAAAAAAATCAGGAAATAAAAAACACACTCACAGTAGCTCTTCCACCCACGCCCCCCACCCACACCCCACACACCCCACCCCCCGTTCCCAAATCCTATGGCAACGGTCAGACTCCTTCCACACCATGGACACGCCTCATCCAGCTGGGGGGGAAAAATAAAAAATAAAAAAAATGCAACAACATGCAACCAAGGTAGCTACATCCATGTCTACGGAGTGGGGAACTGAGGTAACCTTTTCTTTGCATCAGGAAGGAAAAAAAAAAATAAAAAGGGAAAAGCAATGAACCTATGGCCTCCTTTCCTGCCCAATGAATGAATGAATGAATGAAAAAGTCTGGGTGAGGGATTTTCCGGGAAGGAGGAGCTGGGAGTGCGGTGATGGGTTGGCCGAATCCGGTGCGGCTCCGTGGATAGAGCGTCGGCCTGCGGACAGAAGGGTCCCGGGTTCGATTCCGGTCAAGGGCATGTGCACCTTGCTTGCGGGCACATCCCCGGTGGAGGGGGGCGTGCAGGAGGCGGCTGATGGATGATTCTCTCTCATCGATGTTTCTAACTCTCTATCCCTCTCTCTCTATATAAAAAACAATAAAATAAAAAATATATTAAAAAAAGAAAGAAAAGGGGTGCTTGGCCCTGTTTTCTGGAAGATTCCTCTGGAGCATCTAACAAGGGGAGGGGGAGGGGAATGGGGCGTGTGGGCGCTTCACCTACGATTTCTTTGGTATAAAATCGGGGGGGAGGGGCAAACCATAAGCATTTTCCGTTATTCCGGAGAGGGGGACGGGGATGGGGCGGGGGCGGGGGGGATGGAGAAGGGAGGAAAGGGGGTGCTAATTCACAGAATTGGCATTCACTGGCGGTAAAGTCCTGGGCGAAGACCTCTCCCGTAAAGCCTGAGATAGCAGGGCGCAGCCCTCGGCCACGGCGCAGGCGGAGTGGCGCAGCCGGTCCCTGGGGTCGGGCCCCTTCGCGTCGGGGTGCAGCGCCAGGTCCCGGAGGCACTGGGTGAGGAGCACGCAGGCCGACACGACGCTCATGGCGCCGCCCAGGATGGCCGTGTGCACCGCCTTGCCCTCGGCGCCCAGCGCGGCCGCGCGGCCCAGGAACTGCGGCTCCGTGGCGAAGCCCACGAGCGCGCCCACCGCCTGCGCCAGGGGCGCGCAGAAAAGCGCGCACCGCCCGCGGGCCAGCTCGCTGGGCGCTGCCTTGACCTCGCGCACGCAGGCCAGCAGCGCCGACGCGCTGGCGCTCATGCACTTGACCCCGAGCTTGAACTGCTCGCGCGCGAAGCGGTCCCGGGAGCGCTCGCTGGCCAGGGCGCAGGCGTCCGTGAGTAGCCGGAGGTTGCGGGACAGGCCCTGGGACACCTCAAGCAGCAGCTGCGGGGTGAGGTCGGCTAGCGGCGTGGCGCGCAGCGTGGCGCAGCCCTGCTCCACCTCGTGGCGGCAGCGCGTCACCCGGTAACGGTCCACCAGCCCCGGCTGCGCGGGCTGCGCGCCCGGCGCCGCCACGGCCGCCAGGTAGGCCGCGTGCGCCGAGCTCTCGGTCAGCGCCACCACCAGCTCGCCCAGCTCCAGCAGGCGGTCGCCGGCCTCGCCGAAGCGGCCCATGTTCAGCTGGCTCTGCACGTCGTGCGTCAGGATGGACAGCCCCTTGGTGCGCGCGATGATGCTGTCCCGGCACTGCTCGAAGGAGGACTCCGCGCCCCCGCCGGCCGCGCCCTCGGAGGAGGAGGACGAGGAGGAGGAGGGGGACGAGGGCGGCAGCAGCACCGGCCTGGCCTCGCTGGACAGCAGGAGCAGGTCGGCCACCAGCTGCATCTTGGCCTTGCACTGGTCGCACACGGCCGCCAGCCTCTTGCGCGGCTGCGACGAGCTGGTCCCACCGACGCCAATGCCCGCGCCGACGGCGCCCACTGCGCTCGCAGGAGCCGCAGCTGGAGGAGGAGGAGGAGGAGCCGCCTCGCCGCTAGCCATCGCGCCCGGGGGGCAGTGGCATGCCGCTGGGGAGCCCGCTACCGCCGCCGTCGGGTCTCAGCTGGCCGGGGCCGCGGCGCCTTCCCCGCACCATCATGCCACCCACCGCCGCGGGCAGCGGAGGGCGCGGGGCAGCGGCGGTGCTGCTGCTGCTGGTGCTGGTGGTGCCGGCGGCGCGGGGCGGGTCCCCCGGGCAGGGGGACTAGGCGGGAGGCTCTTCCAGGCGCTGGGCCTCCGGCCTGGACCTCCGGGGGCGCTTGCAGGAACCATGAACCGGGCGCGCCAAGCTCACGGGGCGCCGCGCTCCTCCTCGGTGCCGGGCAGCCAGGAAAGTCCCTTCGGCGGGGCCGCCGCTGCAGACGCCGGCTTCCTGGGCACGGCCCGGGCCGCCCGCGGGAGCCGGAGGGCGGGAGGGGAAGCTGGGAGTTGTCTCCCTTCCTTCCTTCCTTTCTTTGAAATCAAAAGCGCTTCCTCGGGCAGGAGCGCGCCGGCGCGGGCGGTGGCGTTGGCGGCGGGGGCCCGGGCGCGCTCTGCTGTCCGCCTCCTCCTTCTCCTCCTCCTCCTCCCGGGCTCCGCGGGGCACGTGGGCTTGGGGAGCGGGGACCCCACCCGGCGGTGGTGGAGGCGGCACGGCCCCGCGACGGTGGCCCGGACTGGCGCTGGCGGGGGGGACGCGCGGCCTCCCCGGCGCATCTCCCGGCCCCGGGCTCCTCGGGAAGCGGCCGGGCCCGAGGGTGTGGCCGGGGCCGGCGCGGAGTCAGGCGGGCGCGGGCTCCGAGGCCTCCCGATCGCTCGATCGCGCTCCGTCCGTCCGTCCGTCCGCCACGCCCGGCGGCGCTTTCCCGCCTCGCCGCCGCCACTCACTGCGCCCCGGCGGCACGCCCTCCGGCCCCGCGGCCCGCAGCTGCCGGCCGGGGGCGCTTGTCCATGCCCGGATCCTCCTCCTCTTCCTCCTCCTCCTCCTCCTCCTCCTGTTCTTCCTCCGCCTCCTCCTCTTCGCCGCGGGCCCTGCGCATCGGCCGTCCCGCGCGCGCGCGTGTGTGTCCCCGGCCCCGGCGGCCCCGGCGGCCCCGGCGGCGGCTGGGCCGGCTCAGAGGGTCCCCGCGGCACCCCGGGGCCCGGCTCCTGCCATGTTTGCCAGCCTCCAACTTCCGAGCGGAGGGAGAGGAAGGGCGGGGGCCGCCGGGCGCGGGGAGACGCCGCCTCCGCTCGGAGCGCGGGCCGTGGGCGCGCCGCGCGGCCGCCCGGCTGCCTGCCCGGAGGGGCTCCCCGGCCCCGGCCCGCCTCGCCCCCGCCGCCTCCCCGGAGCCGATGGAGAGCTTTTGTGTGGCGTCACCGCCTCGCGTTTAAATCCCGCTTCCTCCCTCCGCGGCCTCCCTCCCCCGCCCCCTCGCCGCCGCCGCCGCCGGATGCTTGCGCGATGCGCTGCTCCTCCCCCGGGAAGCGGGCGGGACGCGGAGGCCGGGGCCGGCGGGTGGGCCCGGGCTTGCCTTCCCCGCACTGTCCTTGGCCGGGGGGAGAGGGAGGCGGGAGGGGGGGCGGGGCACAGGCCGCGCGATCTTGGGGAGCCGGGGCGCCCCCGCCGCCGCCGCCGGTTGGCATTACGTAAGCGCTCGGCTGGGCAGGGGCCTCCCCCCCCCCCCCCCCCGCCCCGCGCACGCCGTCCCGGCGGCGACCTGTGTCCAGGGCAGAGGGAGGAGGGCTCGGTGCCCTCCCCTGGGACTAGGGGGTGGTGGGGGGCCGGTCTTGGCTTTCCAAGCGCCCCCCGCCCCCCTTTATGTGGCTGATCCTCTCCCTGGCGGGGGGGGGGATCTGAGCAGGGCGAGGGTGGCGCACGGGACGCGGAGTCCCAGGAGCCTTGAACTTGGCGACGCTTGGGCAGCCAGCGTGCGCGGGCTCTACGCGCCACTGGGGGGCGGGGGTGGAGGGTTGGGGGTGTCAGGCTCTCCCCGGCCACTCATCGGCTGGAGCTGGTGTGAGCTCGCCTTCTCACCCCCCCCCCTCCTCCCTCTCCCTCCCAGGACCCGGCTTCTGATCTCCGGATCAGATGTTCCGCTCCGACTGCTGCTGAGTCCTTGGCTCGTGCACGGGACCCGCCAGGCCAGGGTGCGCCTTTGGCTGGCGAGAGGTTGCCCTCCCGTGACCTCCGGGTCTCCGCTGCTACATAATGGGGTGACGGAGGCCAAGCCTTTGGGAGGGAAACAGGCTTATGATCCCCGTTTTCTCCTGGGAAGACGGCTGCTCCAGGCCTTTCGCGTCTTCCCAGGGTCAGGAGGGGGGTCCCCTTCCCCCTCCCCCCCAATCTGGAGAGGAGCCCGGCCCAGCTCTTGGCAGGCCTTTATTTTGCAGGAAGTGGTCAAAACACCTGGGGTTCCTCCCAGCCAAGGACCCCCACTTCTGAGTCCTGAAAGGGGCCCTCTGGGTGCCCAGCCCACACCCAGGCGGGGTGTGGGCAGCCCCCAGAAATGGTGTCTTCCTCCATCCCCCTCCTAAGCCCCCGGAGGCACCCTTTCCTGCCAGCTGCCATCTGTATATATAAAAGCCTAAATGGCTGGTCGCTATGATCCTCAAGGCAGGAGCTGCCCCCTAGTGGTCAGGGCGCTCCCACATCCAACCTCCCTGGACCCCTCCTGCCCACCCCTGGTGCCTTGATGGGCTCCAATCGCCAGCCAGGCCGAGGGACCCCCTCCCTGTGCACGAATTCGTGCACGGGGGCCTCTGGTTGTTACATAGAAATGAGGATGACTTTGCAACTGATCGTCCAGAACGAAACTCCCTGAGGGAGACCTGCTGGTAATAAGCTAACCGTGAGCGGCAGGCACCTAAGGGGGTTGCCCACCAGACCCCATAAAACGACCTTTTTTTTTTTTTTTGAACAGGCAGCGGATTTTATTTTGGTTCCAGGGGGAAAAAATAGCTGGATGCACCAAGCTCTTTCCATGGCTGCCCAGGGGTCGCACCCCCTCTGGGTGCCGGGTTAGTTACTCGTGAAACTGCGTTGGAATTGGGATTTCTTCGCCCCACCCTTGCCTTCCTCCCCCCCCCCCCCCAAGCCACCAGTGCCCCAGGGTCCCATTTATTTCCCTTTCCTCCTACATATGCAACCTGTTTTGTTATTGCTGGAGAGATCCTACCCCAATCATGAGCTGTGCTACTCAGCTTGCCCCTCTGTATCCAGGGATGGTTGGTTCAACATGAACATTTTTTAAAAAATATATTTTTTATTGATTTTATACAGAGAGGAAGGGAGAGAAATAGAGAGCTAGAAACGTCGATGAGAGAGAAACATAGACCAGCTGCCTCCTGCACACACCTCACCGGGGATGTGCCCGCAACCAAGATACATGCCCTTGACCGGAATCGAACCCGGGACCTTTCAGGACGCTCCACCACTGAGCCAAACCGGCTTCGGCTCAACGTTAACATTTTTAAAAAAATATATCTTTATTAACTTCAGAGACGAAGGGAGAGACAGAAACATCCATCCTGAGAAACACTGATCGGCTGCCTCCTGCACGCCCCCCGCTGGGGATGGTGCCCACAACGCAGGCATGGAATCGAACCCGGGCCCTTCAGCCCTCAGGCTGACTGACGCTCGGTGCACCGAGCCAAACCATTTGAATGTTGAGCCCCGGCTGGTGTAGCTCAGTAATTGAATCCACGGACCAGGTCACAGTTCGATTCCAGGGTTGCAGGAGGCAGCTGATCCGGGATTCTCTCTCATCATGGATGTTTCTCGCTCACACTCCCTCTCCCTTCCTCTCTGACGTCAATCAAAAGATATTTTTAAGAATTTGATAGGATTGGCCCTAACTGGTTTGGCTCTGTGGATAGAGCGTCGGCCTGGGGACTGAAAGGTCCCGGGTTCGATTCCAGTCAAGGGCATGTACCTTGGTTGCGGGCACATCCCCAGTGGGGGTGTGTGTGTGTGTGCAGGAGGCAGCTGATCTATGTTTCTAGCTCTCTATCTCTCTCCTTTCCTCTCTGTAAAAAATCAATAAAATATATATATATATATTTTAAAAATGTGGCTCTCCAAAGAAATGTCAATTGTTGTGCTGTTGATGTTTGGCTCTGTGGATGAATGCATTTGCCAGCCATACAGTCCGCTGGCTACGCGGATGGGTCAGGTGAGTGAGGTGGTTGATGGGCGGACTGGGATTCTCAGTCCTGCCCCTGCTGTTCCTCCCCCAGACCCCGGGACCGGATGCTACAGTTCAACAGTGTGGAGCGTCCATAGGCTTACGTGACGGGGAGCAGACCTTTTAGCCTGAGTTGGACGTGAACCATGAGCAAAAGGCACATTCAGTGGTAAGCCGCTGAGATCTGAGGGTTGTTGCGGTGGCATACTTTATTTATTTAAAATATATATTTTATTGATTTTTTTACAGAGAGGAAGAGAGAGGGATAGAGTTAGAAACATCGATGAGAGAGAATCATCGACCAGCCGCCTCCTGCACACCACCTACTAGGGATGTGCCCGCAACCAAGGTACATGCCCTTGACCGGAATCGAACCTAGGACCCTTCATCTGGGCAACCGGTCATTATGGCTGCTGGCTTTATATATATATATATATATATATATATAGAGAGAGAGAGAGAGAGAGAGAGAGAGAGAGAGAGAGCCGAAAGCGGTTTGGCTCAGTGGATAGAGCGTCAGCCTGCGGACTAAAAGGTCCCGGGTTCGATTCCGGTCAGGGGCATGTACCTTGGTTGTGGGCACATCCCCAGGAGGGGGCGTGCAGGAGGCAGCTGATCGATGATTCTCTCTCATTGATATTTCTAACTCACTCTCTCTCTCTCTTCCTCTCTGTAAAAAATCAATAAAATATATTAAAAAAAAAAAATTCTCAGAGAGTTGAACTGAATTGAGTTCCAACTGTCAAAACGGTAAAAGTTCAATTAGTCCAGATGTTTTCCTGGTGGGGGGTTCTAAGAGGGACCGCCTCCAGAGATAAAAGTCCGTCGCCCTGGGATTTTGTGTACAATCCCAACAACTTGTAGATCCCACGAGATGACATTTTCCCTGCCCACCTGGATCCCCCACACATCTGCCCCTGCCTTTGGCAGCTGGCAGAATGGATGGGCGGGGCCACCCCTCCTGGCGGAGCACGTGACCCGGGGCCACAGCTGTGCGTGTTTTCCAGCATGACGGCACCAGGACAGGGCTCCGAGCCACTGGGTGGAGCAATGCGCCCTGGGGAGAAAGCTTGTGACATTTCCCCTAGGATTTAAAAAAAAAAGAAAAAAGGAAAAAAAAATTCTTTTTCCTACGCGGTTCTGCTCAAGGTCAATAGAAACTGGCCCTAGCCATAGCTGGTGTGGCTCAGTGGATAGAGCATTGGCTGGCCCGCAGGCTGAAGGGTCCCGGGTTCGATTCTAGTCAAGGCCACATGCCTGGTTGCAGGCACATCCTCAGTAGAGGGTGTGCAGGAGGCAGCCGATCCGTGATTCTCTCTCATCGTGGATGTTCCTGTCTCACTCTCTCTCTCTCTCTCTCTCTCTCTCTCTCTCTCTCTCTCTCCTCTCTCCCCCTTCCTCTCTGAAACCAATCAACACTAATAAAAGAGTAAGATGCAGCCGAAACCGGTTTGGCTCAGTGGATAGAGCGTCTGTCTGTCTGCAGACTGAAAGGTCCCGGGTTCAATTCCGGTCAAGAGCATGTACCTTGGTTGCGGGCACATCCCGAGTAGGGGGTTTGCAGGAGGCAGCTGGTCGATGATTCTCTCTCATCGATGTCTCTGGCTCTCTATTTCTCTCCCTTCCTCTCTGTAAAAAAAAAAAAAAAAAAAAAAAAAAATCAATAATATATATAGAGAGAAAAAGAGAGAGTAAGATGCAAATTGACTGTACCTTCATGACACCCACCAGCCAATCAGGAACAAGTATGCAAATCAACCCAACAAAGATGGCAGGTTGATTTGCATAGGCAGGCACCGCCCCAGCCGCTCCAGGCCTCTGGGCAGCATGGGAAGGCACAAAGGCAGCTCCAGGCCAGAGGGAAGGCAGTGCCAGCAGCCAGGGGAAAGAAGGCCCATTCTTGCACGGATCTTCGAGCATCGGGCCTCTATTAGAAATATATTTTTAAGAAAGAAAATGTCATAGCGTATGCACCTATAGATGCATACGGAGAGAGAAATGAAGCTGTGATGTTCCCTTAGAGCAAAGGGGAGGCCTATATTGCCAGCTGGTTGCCCGGTCACCATCCACTTCCTCTCTTTTCTTGGTAACAGAGTCCCAGTAATTTTATTTTTATTTTTATTAAATCTATATTTTATTGACCTCTCACAGGGAGGAAAAGAGAGGAATAGAGAGTTAGAAACATCGATGGATGAGAGAGAATCATCCATCAGCTGCCTCTTGCACACCCTCTACCGGGGATGTGCCCGCAACCAAGGTCCATGCCCTTGACCTGGAATTGAACCTGGGACCTTTCAGGCCGCCGGCCGATGCTCTATCCACTGAGCCACACAGGCTTCGGCAGAATCCCAGTAATTTTATGTGGCGTGCGGATGCATCCGGCGACAAGACAGTTGCTCGGCCTGCCTCGGAGGACTAGGCTCCCGACGAGGAGACATAAACACAAGCGGTGTGTGGGATGTCCGAGCAGGCCACTTAGCAGGGGGCTGACTCCGCGGAAAAGTATGTTCCTTCTGGCCTCCCTTCCCCCTGCCTCTGGGTGACTGTCAGGTCCATGGCTGGAGCTCGGGTGGCTATGCTGGACCTTGAACCGACTTTCGGGAGGGGAGCCACAGGCCGGTGCGATGGAGCGGGAGGACAGAGGGACTGGGGGCCTCAATACCAGCCCTCGATGCTTGATTTCCAACTGCTTTTCTGTGCAAGGAAAACCTAGCAATGGCAACAAAGCCTCTCTCTCATCTAAAGCACCTTTTAAAAAAACAAACAAATGTGGATTTAATTTTTTAAAATATATTCTATTGATTTTTTACAGAGAGGGAGAGAGTCAGAAACATCGATGAGAGAGAAACATCGATCAGCTGCCTCCTGCACACCCCCTACTGGGGATGGGCCCGAAACCAAGGTACATGCCCTTGACCGGAAATCGAACCTGGGACCGATGCTCCATCCACTGAACCACACTGTTTAGGGCTAAAGCAATTTTTTAAACAATTTAGTTTTCAGTTATGTACAACCTATTCCAAGCATAGCCCTAGCCAGTGTGGCTCAGTGGATAGAGCGTTGGCCTGCGGATTGAAGGGTCCCAGATTCGATTCCGGTCAAGGGCATGGATGGGCCTTGGTTGCGGGCACATCCCCAGTGGGGGGGGCGTGTAGGAGGCAGCCGATCCATGATTCCCTCTCACATCCTCTCTGAAATCAATTAAAAAATATTTTTTATTTTTGTTTCTCTCCCTCTCCCTTCCTCTCTGAAATCAATTAAAAAATATTTTAAAAAATTCTTAGAAGCAAGCAGCAGGCCTGCCATTTAAACCCGAATTTCAAAGCGCGTGGGTTCCGCACCTTTTTAAGAAACAAAAAAAGTGAATGCTTCCGCCTTGAAAATTCAGGACGTGTCAGGCAGCGTCTATGTGAGAATAAACACTGCAGCTATTTTAAAGGTGAAAATTTAAAAAAATATATTTCAAAAAAGGTTTTTTTTTTTTTTCGAGTTCCTGAGCTGACAGGAGCATCTTGAGAGCTGGTGGCACCGAATCCTCTAGAAGTAATTTTTTAAAAAAAATATATTTTTATTGATTTTGTACAGAGTGGAAGGGAGAGGGACAGAGAGCTAGAAACATCGATGAGAGAGAGTCATCGATCAGCTGCCTCTTGCACACCCCCTACTGGGGATATGCCCGCAACCAAGGTCCATGCCCTTGACCAGAATCGAACCTGGGACCTCTCAGGCCCCAAGCCGACGCTCTATCCATTGAGCCAAACCGGTTTCGGCTAGAAGTAATTTTTTTGGGGGTCATTTACTTTAAAGCTTTTTGGAGCCCGAGAGCTGACAGGAATATCTGAGAGCAGGTGGAATGGAATCCTCTGGAAGTCATTTTTGGGGTTATTTTATTTTTAAAAAATATATTTTTATTTTTTTAAATATATTTTTATTGATTTTTTTACAGAGAGGAAGGAAGAGAGAGGGATAGAGAGTTAGAAACATCGATGAGAAAGAAACATCGATCAATCGCCTCCAGCACATCTCCCACCAGGGATGTGCCCACAACCAAGGTCCACGCCCTTGACCGGAATCGAACCCGGGACCTTTCAGTCCGCAGGCCGATGCTCTATCCACTGAGCCAAACTGGTCTTGGCTAAAAAAAAAAAAAATATATATATATATATATATATATATATATATTATATATATGTAAAATATGTATATATTATTGATTTCAGAGAGGAAGGGAGAGGGGGGGAAACATCCACGATGGCAGAGAATCATGGATCGGCACCTCCCGCACGCCCCCTCCACTGCGAATCGAACCCACAACCCGGGCCTGTGCCCTTCTTTGGCAGGAATCGAACCCGGGACGCCCTACCCACTGAGCCACACCGGCCGGGGCTCCTTTCAGGCTTTTCGGAGCCTGAAAGGCGACAGGCATGTCCGAGAGCGGGCGGGGCTGAATCCCCTGGGCAGGCCCCTCCGAGGAAGCCAATCCAAGTCTCAAAACTCCCCGAGGCCGAGGCGGCGCCAACTCACCCCGCGGGCGGGCCCTGCGGCCTCGCGAGGCGCCGCGAGGGCCCCCACCCCCACCCCCCGAGGGCGCTCTTGGCCCGGGGCCTCCGGCTGGAGGAAAAAGGCCCGCCCCTGGCGGAAAAGGAGCGGAAGCGCAGCCTGGGCCCGCCCCTCCGCCCGGCGCGCCGCGACCAGACTAGGGGAGGGGTCTCGGGGCGGGAAAAGATGGCGGAGGGGCGGGTCTCAGGGTCGGACGGGGCGGGGCCTGATAGGGCAGCGCGCCTCGGGGGGCGGGGCCACTGAGGGGCGTGGCCGGAAAGCATGCGCAGGGTGGGTCCGTCCCTTCGCCCGGCACCGCAGCCGGGCCACCGGAGGGGTCGTGGGGCGGGAAAAGATAGCTGAGGGGCGGGCCTGATAGGTCGGCGCGCGTAGGGGGGCGGGACCACGAGGGGTGGGGCTAATAGGTCAGCGCGCCTCTGGGGGGCGGAGCCACTGAGGGGCGGGCGGATAGGTCAGCGCGCCTCTGGGGGCGGAGCCACGGAGGGGCGGGCTAATAGGTCAGCGCGCCTCTGGGGCCTGGGATACGGAGGGGCGGGCCTGATAGGTCAGCGCGACTCGGGGGGCGGGGCCGGAAAGCAGGCTCAGGTCCAGGTTCCGGAAAGGAGCGTTCGGGGCGGGGCTGACGGCTCGCGCAGACGCGTTGCGGCGACGGCGGGGCGACGATGGCGGCCTCCAGCTGGCTGTGCGCGGCCGTCCTCCTGCTCTGTGCCTGCGACCTGCTGCTGCCGGTGCTGCCGCCCGGGGCCCGCGCGGCCGAGGACCCGGCCGGGAAGGCCGGCGAGGCGGCCCCGCCGACGCCCAAGAAGAAGAAGAAGGACATTCGCGATTACAATGATGCGGACATGGCGCGCCTTCTGGAACAGTGGGAGGTCCGCGGCGCGCGCCCCCGGCCCCACCCCCTCAGCCCCCAACCGGGCCCCGCTCCGTCCCTGGCCCCGCACCCCCTCCCCGACCTCTCACCCCCGACCTCTCACCCCCTGCCGACCCTCTAACCTCCTCTCTGCTTGCGCCCCGAGTCCTCGCTGACCCCCCGGGCCTCCCCGACCCCGGCGCCCCGGGCCCGCGCCGCCATCCCGCTGCCCTCGGCCAGCCTTTGGGGGGCCTCCCCTCTCGTTTCAGCCCCCATTGCCCCGGCCGCCATCCCCTCTCCCTGCTGCGTGGCTCCCCGCGGTCCGTGAGCCCCTGCAGACGGCAGGGAGACGATTTGCACAATATTCCCGGGGGTGGGGGGTGGGGGGTGGGAGGCGGGAGGATGATGGGTAAGATTACTTTGTTGTTGTTTTTAATGTACTTTTATTCGTTTCAGAGAGGAAGGGGGAGTGAGAAAAGCATCCACGATGAGAGAGACACACAGATCGGCTGCCTCCTGCACGGCCCCACATGGAGGGAGGGAATCGAGGCCCGGCCTGAGCCGTGACCCGGAAGCGGACCGTGACCTCCTGGGTCATAGGTCGAAGCTCACTCAGCCTCTGAGCCAGGGTTACTTTGCAGAGGGTCAGCTCAGGTTGCAGGGTTCTGCCATCTGCCAGGTGGGGGGGATTGCGGGCTTCCCACGTGGAGGCATTTCCCTGCTGAGAGTTTTGTCATTTTAGGGGTAACGGGGCGGTAATCCAAGGCCAGTTGCTCGTTCTCATGGAAGCCACTTTTTGTTTTAATTTTAATTTTAAAGGAGCAGTGACTTAACTTTTTGTTTTAATTTTTTTCATTTAAAGGAGCAGTGACTTTTGTTTCGTGCGAGTGAACTTTCTGAGTGCACCAGTGTGTGTAATAATTACAGGGAGTTTGTAATAAGTTTTTTTGTGTTTTTTTTTTTGTAATTTTTTTCTCTTTTAAAAATATTTTATTGAGTTTTTACAGAGAGGAAGAGAGAGGGATAGAAATCTAGAAACATTGATCAGCTGCCTCCTGCACACCCCCTACTGGGGATGTGCCCACAACCAAGGTCCATGCTCTTGACCGGAATCGAACCCGGGACCCTTCAGTTCGCAGGTAGACGCTCTATCCACTGAGTCAAACCGCTTTCGGCAATTTTTTCAATTTATTTTATTTTATTTTATTGATGTCAAAGAGGAAGGACCAGTGAGAGAGAGAGAAACTTCAATGATGAGAGTATCACTTATTGGCTGCCTCCTGCACGCCCCCTACTGGGGATGGAGCCCCCAACTAGGCATGTGCCCTGACTGAATTCGAACCTGGGACCCCTCAGTCCCCAGACTGACGCGCTATCCATTGAGCCACACCAGCCGGGGCCGTGATGTGGTGGTTTATCTGTGTATGTGTGTTTGATCGAGGCTTTGGGTCATGAGTTTAAAATGCCATCGGGTGCCCTGGACACGCAGATAGTGTTTTCATGTTGATCTGCAGCTGAGAGGAGATTGGGGTGGAGTGGGTGTGGGGAGACCACGAATGAAGAGACACGTGAACGTTTCGCTCACTCCCTTCCCTGTTCGCCATCGCCCTTGCCGGCCTCCCTCTGCGCTTCTGCACGTGAAGAGTTTTGTTTGTTTGTTTTTAAAGTATGTTTTTATTGGTTTCAGAGAGGAAGGGAAAGGGAGAGAGAGAGAGAGAGAGAGAGAGAGAGAGAGAAACATCCGTGATGAGACAGGATCATGGATCGGCTGCCTCCTGCACGCCCCACACTGGGGATCTCCCGCAACCTGGGCCTGTGCCCTCACTGGGAATCGAACCTGGGACCCTTCAGTCCGCAGGCTGGTGCTCTACCCACTGAGCCACACCAGATAGGACATCTCGTTGGGAAATCGCACCCTGGAGATACTCAGCTAGACAGAAGGGGTGATGAACAAGGGGTCAGACCGTCGGTGGCAGCAGGCACCAATAAAAATACCCGCAGTGCGAAGCAGAACTGCTGAGCGCTACAAAAAGCAGGTGCAGCCCAGCTGGCGTGGCGCAGCTGAGCATCAACCTAGGAACCAGGAGGTCGCAGGTTCGATTCCCGGTCGGGGCACAGGCCCGGGTTGTGGGCTCCATCCCCGGGGGGGGGGGAGGCGGCCGACCCGTGATCCTCTCTCATCATGGATGTTCCTCTCCCTCTCTGAAATCAATAAAAATATGTTTTAAGAAAAGAAAGGGACTCTCGGAGGGCGTCAGGGAGGAAGTGGTGTTAGAGTGGCAGGAGGGGTGCGGGGAGGGAGCAGACGCCAACAGCCGAGGCTCCGCCGTCAGACTGCCCGCGTCCAGCCCCTTCGCCGGTGCGTGTGGTCAGGAAGAGCCTCTGTCCCCGAGTCTCCTCTTCTTCGGGATAGAGGTGTTGATGGTGTGCACAGGTCGTTCTGAGAATCAGCCGAGAGCATGGAAGAATAGAGCAGCTCAGCCCCGGCTGGTGTGGCTCAGTGGTCGGTGTCACAGGGCCATTCCCGGTCAGGGCACGTGCTCGGTGTGGGGCATGCAGGAGGCAATGCATCAGTGATTCTCATCATTGATGTTTCTCTCTCTCTGATACCAATTTATATATATATATATATTTTTTAATACGTTTTTATTGATTTTTTTACAGAGAGGAAGAGAGAGTTAGAAACATCGCTGAGAGAGAAACACCGACCAGCTGCCTCTTGTACACCCCCCACTGGGGATGTGCCCACAACCAAGATCCATGCCCTTGACTGGAATGGAACCCGGGACCCTTCAGTCTGCAGCCTGACGCTCTATCCACTGAGCCACACTGGAAGGGCTAAAAAAAAATATTTAAAAAAAAAAATACAGCAACTCATGATTAGCTACGGCAGCATAAAAATCAGTCCTTTCACATACATTCGTTTGCTTGGCTGGGATAGACGGAAGGACGCGGTGAGAGGTCAGGATGGTGGGAGCCAGAGCTGCGGGGCCCTGATGCCGTGGGGGTTGGACGTCAGAAGGACACGTGGTCCCTGCTGTGCACCCTGACATTGCAGAACCGGGCTGTTTGCATTTAATCTCATAACCTCATCCCAAAACATGTTTTCTCTCCCGATGCCCCCTGCTGGTGCAGGTGTAGCTTTTACAGCTGTCGTCGGTGTATTGTCTGTTTACGTTTTCCGAAATACTTTTTTTAAAATATATGGACACTGAGGGAGCTGCTGCCTGCTTTATTGCTCGCCTGGACAGGAGCCGTGGTCACTGACTTGTGCACTCCCTCCAGGCTGTGTGTGTGTATGTGTGTGTGTGTGTGTGTGTGATTCCTGTAGACTGATGGCCAGCAATGCAGGGCCCAGAGCCAGGTGGTGGTGATCTCTGAACGCATAATCATCTGGCCACTCAGTGCATATTCTATAGAATAAAAGGCTATAATGCAAACGGTCCCCTTGACCAGGAGTTCAGCCAGCAGGCAGGCCGGCTAATCACCCATGTCCCCTCCTGGCCAGGCTGGCCGGACCCCACCGATGCACGGATTCATGCACCAGGCCTTTAATACACACACACACACACACACACACACACACACACACTGGCCAGATTATTATGTGTGTGTATGTGTGTATTTTTATTGATTTTTAGAGGGAGAGAGAGAGAAACATCAATGACGAGAGAGAATCAGGGACGGACTGCCTCCTGCAAGCCCCCAGCTGGGGGTTGAGCCCACAACCGAACCGTAACCTCCTGGTTCCTAGCTCCACGCTCAGCCACGGAGCCATGCGGGCCAGATTGAGCTGTGCTCTTTGGAGGACTTGGCAGTCGGTTGACTCCTGTGGCCACAAGGGGGCAGCGTAATGTGGCGGAAAGGACGGGTTTTGGCCTCAGCTTTGCACCTTGGTAACTGATCCTCCCTGTCCTTACCCGGAGAGCCAGGTCACGGCCACTTTGCAGGGGGCGTGCAGGCCAAAGGGGCTCACGTTTGCAGACATGAATGTGCGCGCCCTCTCCTGGCATCTGTGTCACCCCCCACTCCACTCAGTGCTTCCGTCTCCACGGGTGCTCCTCTCCCCGGGCAGCCATCCCTAAACCCACCCGCTCCTCTCCCTGCGCTCCGTCTGGGGCCGCGGGAGCTGCTCGTCACGCGTGTCAGTGCGTGTTCTTCCTCTCTGTGCCGTGTGTCGTCTCCCCGTGCCCACCGTCGATCGTGTTGGGCAGAGTCATTGGGTGTGAACACGATGTGGGGACCCACCCCATGGGGCTCTGTGATTGGCGACCTGGAGTGACGGCAGCAAGTAAGGACTGCCGGAGCTCAGACGTGAATGCCGTGGGGTTTGGACTTTTTATTTTTATTTTTGATTTTATTGATTTTTTTTTTTACAGAGAGGAAGAGAGAGGGATAGGGAGTCAGAAACATCGATGTAGAGAGAATCATCAATCAGCTGCCCCCTGCACACCCCCTACTGGGGGTGTGCCCGCAACCAAGGTCCATGCCCTTGGCCGGAATCGAACCCGGGACCTTTCTGTCCGCAGGCCGAGGCTCTGTCCACTGAGCCACACTGGTCTCGGCGGGGTTTGGACTTTTTAAATTTTATTTTAAATTTTGTTGGTTTTAGAGAGTAAGGGAGTGGCGGAGGGGGAGAAACAAACATGAGTAAGGAAGGAGAACCATGGATTGGCTGCCTCCCACACGCCCCCTCCCCCCCCATTGGGGATTGAACCCACAACCCAGGCATGTGCCCTTGACCTGATTTGAACCGTTACCTCCTCATTCATATAGATCGGTGCTCAACCACTGAGCCACACTGGCCGGGCTGCCTTGTACTTGGGAAGGAATGCGCAGTAGAAAGTCAGGCATGGGGGACCTGCTGGTTTTATTTTTATTTTTTATTTATTTATTTAAAAAAATATTTTATCGATTTTTTTTTTTTACAGAGAGGAGGAGAGAGGGATAGAGAGCTAGAAACATCGACGAGAGAGAAACATCCATCAGCTGCCTCCTGCACACCCCTCTCTGGGGATGTGCCCGCAACCACGGTCCGTGCCCTTGACCCGGGATCGAACCCGGGACCCTTCAGTCCGCAGCCGGACGCTCCATCCACTGGGCCACACCGGTTTCGGCACCTGCTGGGTTTTCTTCTTGTCGGTCATGACGTTGGTCACAGACTCCCCTCCCCCCCCTTACTCCTCACCATCCCCTCCCCCCCTCCGGTGCGGAATCCCTTGCCTCTGCTGGGTGGGAACCCCGTTTCTGACCGTCGGCGCCCCCCCTTCCCCCCCCCCAGAAAGACGACGACATTGAGGAAGGGGACCTGCCGGAGCACAAGCGGCCCTCGGCGCCCGTGGACTTCTCCAAGCTGGACCCGGGCAAGCCGGAGAGCATCCTGAAGCTGACCAAGAAGGGCAAGACCCTCATGATGTTCGTCACCGTGTCCGGCAGCCCCTCGGAGAAGGAGACGGAGGAGATCACCAGCCTGTGGCAGGGCAGCCTCTTCAACGCCAACTACGACGTCCAGCGGTGAGCGCCCGCCCTCGGTCTGTCCGTCCGTCCGTCCGTCCGCCCGCCCGCCCGCCGAGGGCTCCCTCCAGCGGCTGCTCTGTGCTGGTTTTGTTCTCTCTATGTGTGCTGCTAACCTCATCTGAGGGGGGTGTTCCCATTGATTTTTATTTATTTTTTATTTTTAAAAATATATATATTTTATTGATTTTTTTTTTACAGAGAGGAAGGGAGGGAGATAGAGAGCTAGAAACGTCGATGAGAGAGAAACATCGACCAGCTGCCTCCTGCACACCCCCCACCGGGGATGTGCCCGCAACCAAGGTCCATGCCCTTGACCGGAATCGAACCTGGGACCTTTCAGTCCGCAGACCGACGCTCTGTCCACTGAGCCAAACTGGTTTCGGGTCCCATTGATTTTTAGAGAGAGGGAAGGAGAGACGGAGAGAAACATCGATGTGAGAGATGGATCAACTGGTTGCCTCCTGCATGAGCCCACCCAGGTAGGGTCTGGGCCAGGGAGGAGCCTGCAGCCAAGGTACATACGTGCCCTTGACTGGACTCCAACCCGGGACCCTTGGGTCCACAGGCCCAAGCTCTATCCACTGGGCCACACCAGCTAGGACTCTTTATTGTTTAAAAAATATATTTTTATTGAAATCAGAGAGGAAGGGGGAGAGAGAGAGAGAAACTCAATGATGAGAGAGAATCGTGGATCGGCTGCCTCCTGGGTGCCCCAGGCTGGGGATGGAGCCCGCCACCCGGGCACGTGCCCCGATCGGGAATCGAACCCTGACCTCCTGGTTCACAGGTGGACGCTCAGCCACTGAGCCACGCCGGCCGGGCCCACGGGCTAACGTCCGAGCTGACGATGGTGCGTGGCCGGTGGGTGACGTCAGGGATACCCCCCCTCCCCGCCCTCGCCCTCGCCCTCGCCCGGCGAGCTGACTGCGGCCTCTCCCGTCCAGGTTCATCGTGGGCTCGGACCGGGCCATCTTCATGCTGCGGGACGGCAGCTACGCCTGGGAGATCAAGGACTTCCTGGTGAGCCAGGACCGCTGCGCCGAGGTCACGCTGGAGGGCCAGGTGTACCCGGGCCGCGGCGGGGGCGGCCGGCAGCGGAACCAGACCAAGCCGGCCAAGGGCAAGAAAAAGGAGGACAAGCCCCGCGGCGCCTCCAAGGAGGACAACCGGGCGGGCCAGGCGCGCGAGGACCTGTGACGGGCAGGTGCCCACGCGGGCGGAGGCCGGGCCCGGCCCGCGGGGTCTGCCCCGGGCCTGGGGTGGCAGGCCAGAGTCCCTGTGGACCAGGCTGCGGGTGCCAAGGCAGCCTCCACGTTGGCCACGGCCAAGGTCAGGGTTCCTGTGGCGTGTTCCCCGCATGTTGCGGGGAGTCCTGGGCGCCATCAGCGCGCCCGCTCCGGTCTGTGTCTGCTTTAGGGTTTGTGCATTGATGCCGAGAGAGGGCGGAAGGACACCAGGATCTGGTCAGACCCTGGAAGACCTGATATTGCCAAACGGGGCTCTTCCTTCGCGCCCCCAAAACGCCACTTCCTTACTGGGACGTGGACACGCACCCAGACCACCAGCGGCCCCTCCAGGAGCCGCGGGACCCCGGGTCTCCCAGGCTCGCCGCCGCCGCCATGAGGACTCGGGGTCTGCCGCTGCTGTGCGCAGGGGGGTCGGGACCCGCCGGGTCCTCACTCCGGGAGGGGTGGGCGTGTTGGCCCGGCCACGCGGCAGGTGAAAAGGCGTCAGGAAGCGGCGCCGGGGCGTGTGGCGGGGCCGGCTCCCTCCGTGTGAACACGTGTCTGCTGAAGTGCCTGCCTGTGTGTGTCTGGTCCCCATCTGCCAGCGTCTGATCGCCCCTCTGGGGCGGGGCGGGGCGGCACGCACAGGCGCCATTTCTAAGAGCCGCTGTTTGTGAAGCCTCTGCTTGTGGTTTTCTCAGAATAACACGTTCGTGGTGAGAACGCGCGGTGCTCAGGCTGTCCCTCCCTCCGCCGCGCTCGTGTGTGTGTGTGTGTGTGTGTGTGTGTGTGTGTGCGCGCGCGCGCACGCGTGTGTGAGTGTGTGTGTGTGCGCGTGTGTGTGTGCGCGTGCGTGTGCGTGCGTGTTGGCCTCGCAGGGCCTGGGGTGTGTGTATTGGCCTCGCAGGGTCTGGGGTGCGTGTGTGTGTCCGTGTGTGTGTTGGCCTCGCAGGGCCTGGGTGTGTGTGTATTGGCCTCACAGGGCCTGTGGTGCATGTGTGTTTGCGTGTGTGTGTGTTGGCCTCACAGGGCCTGGGGTGCGTGTGTGTGTGCATGTTGGCCTCGCAGGGCCTGGGGGTGTGTGTGTGTGTGTGTGTGTGCGCGCGCGCGCATTGGCCTCCCAGGGCCTGGGGGGTGTGTGTGTGCGCGTGTGTGTGTGTATTGGCCTCGCAGGGCCTGGGCGTGTGTGTGCGTGTGTGTGCGCGTGTTGGACTCCCAGGGCCTGGGTGTGTGTGTGTGTGTGCGTGTGCGTGTGTGTGCGTGTTGGCCTCCCAGGGCCTGGGTGTGTGTGTGTGTGTGTGCGCGTGTTGGCCTCCCAGGGCCTGGGTGTGTGTGTGTGTGTGTGTGTGTGTGCGTGTTGGCCTCGCAGGGCCTGGGGGTGTGTGTGTGTGTGTGTGTGTGTGCGTGTTGGCCTCGCAGGGCCTGGGGTGCGTGTGTGCGTGTGTGTTGGCCTCGCAGGGCCTGGGTGTGCGTGTGTGTGTGCGTGTGTGTGTGTGTTGGCCACGCAGGGCCTGGGTGTGTGTGTATTGGCCTCCCAGGGCCTGGGGTGCGTGTGTGTGTGTGTGCGCGTTGGCCTCGCAGGGCCTGGGTCTGTGTGTGTGTGTGTGTGTGTGCGCGTTGGCCTCCCAGGGCCTGGGTGTGTGTGTGTGTGTGTGTGTGTGTGTGCATGTTGGCCTCGCAGGGCCTGGGTGGGTGTGTGTGTGTGTGTGCATGTTGGCCTCTCAGGGCCTGGGGTGTGTGTGTGTGTGCATGTTGGCCACGCAGGGCCTGTGTGTGTGTGTGTGTGTGTGTGTGTGTGTGCGCGCATTGGCCTCCCAGGGCCTGGGGTGCGTGTGTGTGTGTGTGTGCGCGCGTTGGCCTCCCAGGGCCTGGGTGTGTGTGCGTGCATGTTGGCCTCTCAGGGCCTGGGGAGTGTGTGTGTGTGCATGTTGGCCACGCAGGGCCTGTGTGTGTGTGTGTGTGTGTGTGTGCGCGTTGGCCTCCCAGGGCCTGGGTGTGTGTGTGTGTGTGTGTGTGCGTGTTGGCCTCCCAGGGCCTTGGTGTGTGTGCCTGTGTTGGGGGGAGGGTGCCGCAGCGCCAGTCTGCCTGGAGCCGGTCCCTCCGCTCAGTCTGCTCGGGGTGGGGGTGCTGGCCCTGCAGCCCGGCTCTGGGCCCTGCAGGATGCAGCCCTGGCCGCCGCGCTCCACGGACCCCAGGAACGGGGCGCTCAGCTGAGAATGAGGGGCGCCGTGTCCTCCGGAGGAGGGTGTGAGCGAGAGCCACGCGGCCGTCCGGGCGCTGCAGGATGGCGCACTGCAGGCCGAGGGCCACGGCCTCCCGTCCGAGGGCAGCTTGAAATGGAGCCGGGTGTCCACTAGGGGGCAGCAGAGCCCTGCCGCAGGCCCGGAGTGGAATGCCCAGCTGCTGCTGGTGGCGACCTCTGGCCTCGCCTGCCTCTTCCTCTGGCTCTTTAATCTCCGCTGCTGGCGACGGCGGGCTGCAGGGATTCGTTTACTTCGTTGTCCTAGCGATCCCAGGCCGGGCGCTAGGTTACCCCATCTTCCACCCAGGCCAGCCGGGGCTCAGAGAAGGAGGGCGTTTCCTTCCAGGTCACGGTGCCCGGGCGCGGCAGAGCCAGGACCTGCGTGAACCGGGCAGCCGGCGGGATGAGTCGGAAGGACAGCTTTCCTGCTGTCAGATCGGCAAAACACGCAGTGTGTGGTGTGCCTCCGAATTTTAGCCATCCTCCCGTGGTTGAGCATCAACCTAGGAACCAGCAGGTCAGGGTTCGATTCCCGGTCGGGGCACGTGTCCAGGTTGCAGGCTCCATCCCCAGCGTGGGGCGTGCAGGAGGCAGCCGAGCCGTGATTCTCTTATCACGGCTGTCCCTCCCTCCCTCTCCGAAATCGACCCAAAAATATTAAAAAATGATAAAAGGTTGAAAATAGCTGGCATCGTCCTTGGGAGTGAAAGCAGACCCAAAGGGCGTTTGGCGGGCCTTAATTTTTCTCAGCTATGAGCCTCCGTTTATTTTTAAAAATTTATTATTTCTTAATCAGAGAGGGAGGGAGAGGGGGGGAGAGAGAAACATCCGTGATCATCATGGTCCGGCTGCCTCCTGCACGCCCCCTACGGGGGATGGAGCCCACAACCTGGGTACGAGCCCTTGACCGGAATCGAACCCGGGACCCTTCAGTCTGCAGGCCGACGCTCTACCCACTGAGCCAACCAGCCAGGGCTACGAGACGCAGTTTTAAAGGAAGACAGCCAGCAGACGGGGTGGCCCCTTGAGCGTTTACTAGGGTACAGCGAGGTTTCCCCCCCCCCCCAGAGCCGTGCGCTCTGAGGCCAGCCGAGGCGCGGGGACAGGGACGACACGTTCAAGCCGACAACACGGACGACAGTTCTTGGTTCCCCCGGCAAGGATTGCTCCGAGCGCGCAGACAATAAATAAATAGAGAACAGGTCTTTGTCCTAACGAGACATTTACACACAGAGCACACGACACGGCGCCTTCCCGGCGGGGGCCAGCCGTCTCGGCCACAGGCGAAGCACACGCGTGTCGGAGGCGTGCTGTTCCCCCGGAGCCTGGCTCGCGGGACGCTCACGCGCGGAGGGAACGGGGCCAGTTTTCCCGGCAGCGAGCGCCGCCACGGAGAACACGCGTGGATGCGGGCTCCCGGCGGGGAACACGCGTGGACGGCTGAGGATCCAATAGATTCTTTCCGGGGTGACAGGTCCCCACCCTCGCGTTCACAGTGTGAGAGCCTCCGAGGAGTTTGAAGGACTAAGGGAACTACAGACAGAAGGACATGAGGTCGCTGTCGCCCCGGCAGCCGGCGTCCTGCTCGGCGGGCACACCTCTGGCAGTGGGCGCAGCCGGGCCGAGCGGAGGGCGGAGGTCGTGGCTGGGGAAGGACGGGCAGGCCGTGCACGGCGAGGCCGCGGGCCCCGGAGCGGCACTAGCGCTCAGCACAGGTAGTTAGTTTCCCCCTGCACGCAGCTCCCGGCGCCTCCCGGGGGGCCAGTGGGGAGGGAGAGGACCGCAGGAGCTGCAGGGCCCCCCATCCCCACCCCCCAGGGCCCAGGGGGTTCCCGGAGAATGTCCGGGGCCTGGCCTTGGCTGCTGGGCCGTGGAACAGGCAGCGCCGACGGGGTCCCCGGGATAGAACACGCGGGCCGGCAGGTGGTGTGGGCAAAGGGGACAGAGGCTGTCTGTCCTGCCTCCAGGCCCCGCTGCTGCTGCCTCCAGGAAGTCTTCCTGGCTTACCCCGGCAGGGAGGGCCGTTCCCTGCCCGGGAACTGGCTCTGGTCCCGATGTCAGGCCCTGGGTTCCCTGCGGGCACGTGTCCCCGACAGCCCGGCCTGCCAGGCGGCCAGCCCCACACCCGAGGACCCCCCTCGGCCTTGTGGGGTTCTCTGCAGCGCCTGGTTCCAGGTGCAACAGGAAAAGCTGCCCCCCCCCCCAACCCCCAGGGCAGCCGGGTCCCTCCCCGCTACTCGCCCGAGAAGGCCACTGCTTACAGGATCATGGCTCCCCTGAGACCCCTGCCCCTTGGCCTCCACCTCCCCCCTAATGTATGTGCTGGTGGCTCGGGGGGCCCGGCACCCCAGTCCACGTCCCTGCTGCCAGCCAGCCAGGCCTCCGAGCGGGGCACGCTGGCCCCCCGAGAGGCACGGAGGGGGGGGAGGCGCCCAGGAGGTGTCCGCCGGCCAGCGCTGCCCGGGCCGCAGGCAGACGGCAGCGGGGCGGGCGGAGGGCGCCGGGGTCTCGGCCGGGAGCCCGCCGCCCCGCCCTCACAGTATCTTCTTCCTCACCACGGGGATGGGCACCGCCTGGAAGACCTTGGCCTGCTGGTCCGCGGTGTCCAGGGCCACCCAGGCCGGCCGGAAGCTGCCCTTGAAGCCGACGAAGACCATTCTCTCTGCAGAGGGGCGAGGCGGCACGTCAGCAGGCGCCGGATCGGAGGCAGGACCCACGGCCCGGCACCC